TGGTACTCATTGTTGTTGGCTCCCCATTTCCCGCCAGCCTCCCTGGTTGGGTCCCTTTGAATCTATCTATGCAATTGTCTCTAAAGATTTAACTATCCTGGGGTTCATATATAGGAAAGCATGCAAAATCAAAACAAAACCCAAACACACAGCCTAACAACAGGGACAGAATGAAACTTAGAAAAACCTCGAGAAGCCGGTGGGAGTTGAACATGGTTCTGTACCTTGTGGAAAACTCTTCAATCTCAGAAAGATTCTCACCAACAACTATGTCTTCCAACACAGATATTTCTCTCTCTTCATATGATGAAGACCAGGGATCCAAACTCATCAGAAAAGCTAAAGAGGCCCCTTTTGTCCCCATAGGGATGGTCTATTCCATGTATCGGGAATACTGGGCCAAACCTACGCAGTAGAAGAAGAGATGCGGGTGCCGTCTTGTTGGTGCTACTTGATGAGACGCATCCTTTTGAGGTTCTATGTTTATGTTGAAGATAAATGATTTACATGAGTTCACTGTTTTGAAGATAGGCTTTCTCTTTTGCAGGCTTGGCTTCCCTGGTGACCAAATTACTAGTGTCTAAATCATGAACTAGGTCATTCCAGGGAGTCCAGTCTATAAAAAGAGGCTGGCCACCCAAATTCACTAGATAGTGATAAGATGTCCACATTCTTAAACTCTTGGGATGCGGTTAGTTCTGAAGCAGACGGCGGGCCCAGGCTAAAGGACATCCAGCTACTGTGGAAGGCCACCTTTGGGTGCTGTGCAGCGTGTCGCTGGCACCAGTGGACTGGCTTTTCTTTCTGCTTGCCTCATGGGCCGGTCGGATCCCTCCATTCCTAGGGCAAGTCTACTCTCAAAGAACTCCTTCCGAAAAATGGGTGGAATCTAATCTACAGCTGAAAACGTGTGTGTTCAAATTAAACCTGAAAAGTGAATAATAGCTGCTTAGATAACTTATTTTAGAATCATTCTTGTCTGCATGAGAATAACCTAATTATGGATTCCTCTTTAGCCCTTTTGTAATTGCAGAGGTATATTTTTGCTGCTGCCATGTTAGAGTAATCTTTAATTGTCATC